TACCATCAAGAAATAGATTTTTGAAAAGAAAATTATAAACACTAAAATATTGTCAGAGGAAAACTTTCATTAAGAGAACCAGCTCGGGAGACTGGGGCTGAAGCTAAAAGAAAAACTGTTTTCCTTGCTTCCTTGGAAGGCAAAATAATTTTAGATTCCTGATTTTTTGAGGAAGAGCATTCCTCACACTTGTTCCCACTGGACAATTCTTCAGAGTTTTTCCTCCCCCTCTGGGTAACATAGGGACAGCACAGTCTCTTCTGTTTGATTTTGCCTAATGGCTCAAATGTAATATATAGGACCGACATCTTTTCATGGTCCCCTCCTTAAAAAGAAAATGCAATTTATCACTTACCTAAATGCCTATATTACTACCAACATGCTTCTCCCACCACATAAGATCTTTTCTCAGAAAATAGGGCCAGAAACACAAAGCTGCTAAGAAACAACAACGTAGTACAACTAAGCAATGGGACACAGGTCAGGGCAAAGTGGTCTCTGTAGAAACTTTTGACTATCTATCTTGTCCATTTTACCATTGGTCTGAAGGAATGCTTCCCTGACTTGCAAAGAAGCCCCTGGTGCCCTACATCAGGAAGCAGGCTGATTATTCTGAAAGCCCACTTAAGATGTCTGGCTGCAGTAAAATCAGGCTCGTCCCGACCCAGGATAGGTTAGTAGGCAGTCACTATGATACTCAGGTGAACAGAGCAGGCAAACCTCCATTTTTCAAAACTCCCCAGAGAAATCTGTGTAGGTCTGAGAATGGAAGGAAGGGAACATTATGTTGTCAGCTAACATCAGAATAAGAAGGGGATGTGGGCTAAATTTGGTGAAAGATTTATTCTTGCATCTTTCCAAAAGGAAAAAAAAATAGGACTATCTAAATGGCATAAATTAATTTTAGCTAAGTGGTTAAATTCAAGTCAGATTAAAAAAAATGCTTTTAATCTATAAAAAAACAAAACAAAATTGCCAGACCTTAGTCCAATGGGAAACCTAGACTCTAGGCCTACTTCTGCTATGAACTAGTAGACAGTGCTTAACCTTCCAACGAATTAGTTTACTTATTATAAAATGAAGTATTTGGACCTGATGAGCTTTACAGTATTTTAGTCGTGTTCTGAATTGGAATTAAGACAACTGAAGATGTTCATATTCCTAGGAATTGTGAACTTAGACCTACCCTGGACCTGGTTCCTTTGTTGATTTCTATGAATTTCCTGGTCTCAGCTCCTGTAGAAGATCCTTAGATTTGACATTATTCTTTTTTTTTTAAATGAAATTCTCTTTCAATTAATAAAAATCTACTTTCTTTTCCATCTACCTTTCCCCACTCCACTGGGGGAAAAAAGAAAAACTTTTGTTACAACTAGGAAGTCAAGCAAAAAAAAAATTCCTCTGTCTCCAAATATATATATGTGTGTGTGTGTGTATGTGTGTGTGTCTTTGTCACACACACATATATATCCCAAGGTAGGTAACATGTCTCATTATCATTCCTCTGTAACCATGTTTGGTCATAGTATTGATCAGAGTTCTTAAATCTTTCAAAGTCATTTGTCTTCACAACATTGTTATTGTACAAATTGTTATCCTGGCCCTTCTTCACTCTACATCAGTTTATGAGTCTTCACAAGTTTCTCTGAAACTATCCCTTTGGTTATTTCTTATGGTTAGTCAATAAAAATTTAATAAGTATGCAAGGCACTTAAGTACTAAGGATACAATACAAAAAAAAGACAGTTCTTGCCCTCAAAGAGCTTATAATTTAATGAATTAGATTGGAATAAAATCTTATGGCACAGTAATATTCCTTTACATTCATATAACTTAATTTATTCAGCCCTCCCTAATTAATGGGTATCCTCTTAGTTTAAGTTCTTTGACAACACAAAAGAGGTGCATACTTTTTCTTTTTTGTCTATCAGTCAATAAGCATTTATAAAGCGCCTAATATGTTCCAGGCACTGTGTTAAGCCCTGGGGATACAAAGAAAGGCAAAAGACATTCCTTGACCTCAAAGAATTCACAATCTATGGGGAGAGACGACATATAAACAACTATGTACAAATAAGTTATGTGCAGGACAAATTAAGAAATAATCAAGAGAGGGAAGGTACTAGAATTCTGAGAAATTGAGAAAAGTTTCCTTTACAATGTGGGATTTTAGCTGGAACTCAAAGGAAGTCAGGAGAAGGAGATGAAGTGTCTTGTTAATGGAACAGCAAGGAGGCCAATGTCACCAGATGGAAGAATACATGGTGGTGGTGGTGGTGGGGCAGATAGGCACGTAAAATGTAAGAAGACTGGAAAGGTGGGAAGGGGTAGGGTATGAAAGGCTCTGAATGTCAAACAAAGGATTCCTTGATCCTGGAGGTGATAGGGAGCTACTAGAGTTTATTGATTAGGAAGTCCTTTCCCTCCTTGATTTTTTTTTTTTTTGAGGGTGGGGGAGATTGGCCTTGTAGTGGTATTGCTGGATCAAAGGACATTCAGAATTTAGTAACTTGTTAAGCAAAGTTTAAGGTGCTATCCAGAATGAGAGTACAAATTCACAACTCTACCAATAGTACACTGAAGATGCCTGTTTGTCTGCAGCCCCTAATAGCATTTGTCATTTTCTTTCTTTCTTTCTTTTTGGTGGGGGGGGTCAACTTTGCCGATCTGATGAATGAGGTGGAATTTTGGAGTTGCTTTAACTTGTATTATTCTCCTTATTAGTGATTTGGAGCATTTTTCATATCTTTATTGATAGCCTGAATTTCTTCCTTAGACAACAGCCTATTCTTATCCTTTAACCATTTATCAAATGGGGAATGGTCTTTATTCTTATAAATTTGAACCAGCTCCTTACATATTTTGGAAATGAGACTCTTATCAGGGAAAACTGCTGCAAAGATTTTCTTCCCCTCAGTTTCTGAGTTTCTAGGGTTGTACTGATGAATTTTTTTAAGGACTGGTTCCCTGGAAAAAAAAAAAGCTTAACACTTTTATGTTTAATCTGCATTAACATTTTCTCCATCACTTAAATACAATCAACAAAAACATAAATCAACTTTAATTTGTAGCATTTGCCAATTTCCAAAGTGTAAAAGTTCACACTTGAAATTTTAACAACTGCCTGAGTTGGCTCAAGCTGATTCCTGCACACTCCTACTGGTTTTCTTTCTATTTCCCTTCCACTTCCCTCCACACTCCCCACCAGGCACCCTGCTTCTGGACTTCTCTGGAGTTCTCTATCATGCCTTCCTTCCCTCTGAAACTCATCGCTGGAAAATCTCATTACGACGCAAGATCAAACTGCCTGTGGTCTACAACTAGAGGGAAGGGTCATAGACTCCAGAGCCACTATTTAAGGAGGGGGCTCAGAACAGTTTTTCTTCCCATTTCCCAACAACTACATTGCTTCTGGACTTCTTTGGAACCTTCCATATATCCCAGAGAGAGGTACTCCTACCTCTTGTGTGTCATCTTCCCTAATTAGATTATAAACTCTAATGGCAGGGACTGTGTTTTTATTGACTAATTTTAGCTTCACTGATTTTGTTTTAAAAAAAACCTTTTAATTTTGTGTAATCAAAACTGTCTATTTCTTCTTCTGTTATCTTATCCATCCCCTGTTTGGTTAGGAACTGTTCCCCTATCCACAGATCTGAAAGGTAATTTCTTCCTTGACTTTCTGATTTATTTCTGATGTCATCCTTTGGATGACTTTTATCCATTTGGAGTTTTACCTTGTTATACACTGGGGAAGGTTAGTCTATACGTAATTTCTGCCAGACTGCTTTGCAGTTTTCCCAGCAGTTTTTGTCAAATAGTAAGTTCTTACACCAGTAGCTGGGATATTTGGGTTTAACAAATACTAGTCTACTAGTTTCATCTGCTTCTGTGTGTTGTGTATCTAATTTGTTCCACTGATCAGCCTATTTTTAACTGGTACCAAATGTATTGATAATTACTGCTTTGTACTATCATTTGGTGTCTGGTATTACTGTTGGGTTCCTTTCATTTTCCATTTTTTTCCCCTTATTTCCTTCAAGATTTCTGACATTTTGTTCCTCTAGATCAATTTCATTATTGGTTTGTTTTTTTTTCCCCTAGTTCTGTAAAGTAATCCTTTGATAATGTGGTACAGCACTAGATAAGTAAAAAACTAAAACTAAAACTAAAACTTCAGATAGCATTGTCATTTTTATTATGTTGGTTCAGCCTACCTTTGAGCAATTTATCTTTCTTCAATTATTTAAGTCTGTGTTTTCATAAACATTATTTTGTAGTTGTATTCATATAGTTCCCACTTGTATCTGGGCAGGTATACTCTTAAGTATTTTATACATTTCATAGTTATTTTAAATGGATTTTCTATTTCTCTCTCTTCCTGTTGGGTTTCATTAGTATTATACAGAAATGCTAATGCTTTATGAAGATAAGTTTTAAATCCTTTAGTTTTGCTGAAGTTACTGTGTCAATTTTTAGCTCACCTTCCAAGAGTTCTTTAAATTAATCATCACATTAACTGCAAAAAGTGCTAAATTTGTGTCCTTTTTGCCTGTACATCTAGATTTCCTTTTCTTGTCTTATTGCTAAAGCTAGCATTTCTAGCACTGCATCAAACAGTAGTGAAGATAGTAGACATCCTTGCGTTTACTCCTGATTTGTAAAGGCCCCTACTTTATTCCCATTACATGTGATGCTGGCTCTTGGCTTTAGATAGGTATTATTACATTAAAGAAAGGTACATTTGCTCCTATTTTTTTAAGTGGTTTTTTTTTTAACAGGAATAGGTGTTGTATTTTGTCAAAAGACTTTTCTATATCTATTGATATAATTGTGAATTTTATTAATAGGTCTATTATGTCAATAATTTTTTAACCTTACATTCCTGGTAAAAATTCAAACTGATCATAGTGTGTAATCTTTGTGATATATTGCTATAATCTCTTTGCTAATATTTTATTTAAAGTTTTGTGTGAGCTCCTTGAAAGCAGGGACTGTCTTTTGCCTCTTTTTGTATCCTAGCACTTAGCACAGTGCCTGACACACAGTAGGTGATTAACAAATATTTATGGATTGATTGGATATGCATTAGGGTCTTCTTTCTTTATTTTGAATCTCCCTGGTTTAGGTATCAAGACTATATTTGAATCATAGAAGGAATATGGTAGGACCCCCTTCTTTTCCTAATTTTTTTAAGCACTATTCTTTTAACTTTTAATTGCCAAGTCTGATATTTTTTCATTCCTTATCCTTCTCAACTTATTTGTTGCATTTGACACAAATGACAGCTGTGTCATATTGGACACTCTCTCCTCTCTGGTTTTTTGTTACGTTAATTTTTCATAATTCTTCTCCTACCTGCCTGATCATTCATTATTCTCTGCTGCTGGCTAATCATACACCTCATGTCCCTTAACTAAGAGAATTCTCTAGGGTTTTGTCTTAGGCACTCTTCTTTTCTCTGTATAATCTTTCTCTTGGTAGCTTTATCACCTCTCATATACTTAACTATCACCTCTACGTAAATGATTCAACACTGTGTGTGCATGGTTATCTCTACTTCTCTATCCAGCCTCAAGACTCTTTCTTGAGCTTCAATAATGGGATATCCCAGAAACATGTACAAAACTGAACTCATTCCCTTTCCCCTTAATCTTGGTATTATCCTGGACTCTTCACTCCACCTTACTCCACATATCAATTGCCAAATCTTACTGCTGTTTTCACAATTATCTCTTACATTTAACAATTTGACATCCCTCCCCTCTAACAGAAAAAAAATTTTTTTTAGTTCATAAACTGTAAATTCTTCCCTTTGGCTTTTAAAGTCCTACCAAGTTGGCCCAAACCTGTATTTCCAGCCTCATTAGACCTCTGTGTCATAACTGGATTGGCCTTTTCTCTGTTCCCCATGCCTCTCATTCCATCTCCATGCCTCTGTTCTGACTGTCTAGTGGGCCTAGACTGCTCCATGGAGCCCTGCTCTTCCTTTGGGACATAGTTCAAGCACCACCTTCTACATGAAGCCCTTCCTGATCTCTTTAACTCTTTAACACTTGGGGTATCCTCCCTCCCAAACTACCTTGTCTTAACTACCTTGTGTAGATTTTTATTTATTCTCTTTGTATTACATGCACATACACACACACCTTAACTTGTTCCCCCACCCCTGTAGAGTCTAGGCTACATGGGAGAAAGGACAGCTTTTAGACTTGTATACTTGTATCCACAGTGCCTGGCACACAGTAGGTGCTTCATAAATACTGGCTGACTGATTGATTTTCTAGACTCATAACTCTTTATGAACCTTAACTCCTTTTACTAGTATCATAAACATGGAGGAAACACTGACATATAAAAAGTGATGGCAATAGTGATAAGATTATTACAACAATACACTTTTTGTTCTGTAACACTGTAGTTCTTGAAGGAGGTCTCTTGCCAATTTTCCTGGCCTGAGGGTTTCAATGCCAAGACGACTCCATCTGTATGTTGTATGAGCTATGAGATTCAAAAACTCATTGGCTATTTCATCAGTTTGAGTTGTCTGAAACAGAAGCAAAACAGAGAGCCAATTTAAAATTTCCCTGGACAAATTAGCTATCTTTTACCTAGTTAAGGCATTCATTTCTAGCTCTGAAAAACAGCAATCTACTTTATTAACCCACAGCAAAAGATTCCGTTCCTTTATTTTGTTTTTAAAATGAGGAAACTCAGTTCTCCCAGAAATATTACAAAGTTAGCAAAGTCATCTCCTAATAATCACCCTCTTCCATAGCAAGCTTTAACTGTGAAACATTTTGGGCTCACAAAAGGCTACACACAAATTAGGAATGTTCTAAGAGAAAAACGTTTGATGGAATTTCTGTTGTAAGCACTTGGAATATTTGCAATGGTAAAGCCAGATGAATGTGTGGTTGCCTTGCTTTAAAGTTCAAACATAAGCAAGAAGGGGAAAAATATTGAAAGTAGAAGGGAAAATTCTGTCTATTTCCAAGCAGCCTTAAATATGATATTTTTAGGCTAATGACTCACCTGTGGTCATGTCTTACGACATGTCCAAGATTTCTAACACGCTAACCATCTGGGAAACAAGAAACACAGAAATGTTTATTCTATGTAATAGAGCCCAGAGGACTAACTAGTTCTGTTTGTGCCTGAAAGCATTTTCCTATGTCAATTAGTGGGGGAAAAACACACATACATATACACACACACATACACACACAAAACAAAGAAAGAAAATAAAAACTCAGCTGTGGGGGAGATTAGTGGGAGTACATGATTTCCAGACACAGGAATATAATAGGGAGTTCTGGGTTTGAAAAAGACTGATTTCTATATGCGATATTTTGTACAATTAGATTCTCAATCACAGAAACCTGGGACAGCATCCTCCCCATCATGACTCTGGGTCTCACGGCTGCCTCTTCCTTTGGCCCTTCAACTTCAGGGGCAGCAGCACAAGGGTGTGGATGGTGGGAAGCAAGAGAGCAGCTGCTGCTATTACCACGTCTACCTGGCAAAGTCTGGTGCCTCTTCGCATGAGGAGAATAGGGAGTTAAAGTTGGGGTGTGTGAATTGACATGTCCTCAGTGGTATACAGAGAGCATAGTACAGTGAAAATAACACTGGACCGGAGTCTGAGGACTTGGGTTCAATCCCATCTCTGCCACTGACTCTCTATGGGATCTTAGGCAGGTCACTTAGCTTCTCTCCGATTCAGTCTCCTCTGCACAATAAGAGGCTGGCCTCTGTGACCTCCGGGGGCCCTACCAGCTCTGAGATCTTTTTAGCTCTGCAGTGATGATCCTTGAGAATGTGTAGTGAGCACAGTGCCATAAGAAAAGGCTTCAATGATGAATATTAACGATGAAAACTGTCTAACTAAGTAACATTGTCACATGAGTATGTATGCAGAAGACAAGAGTTAGGAGATTCAGGATTCAGTAGGAATTTTTCATTTGTTGCAACCATTTGATATGGGAAATCTGCTTTCTGCTGACCTCTAGTTTCACATTTCCAGTTAACTTATTAGACATCCTGAACTGGATATTACATAGACATCTTAATCTCAACATGTCTAAAACAGACCTCTGTTTTCCCCCCCAAACCCTCTCTTCTTCCTCACTTTCCTTTTACTGTTAAGGGTACTGCCATACTCCCATTTGCCAACACTTCTAACCTAGGTGTCACTCTTGACTCTTCACTCTTTCATTCTTGCCCCCTACCCATATTCAATTACCAAGGCCTGCCACTTCTGCATTTGGAACCTCTCACACCCAGGTCCTCTGACAATGTCACTACCAGACGTCATCACCTTCCACCTAGACTACTGGCAAAGTCTGCTATTCGGTCTCTCTGCCACAAGGCCCTCCCCCACCCCAGTTCATCATCCTCTCAATAAATTCCAGTGACTCCCTATGACTTCCAGGATCAAATATAAAATGCTCCATTTGGCATTCAAAGCCTTTTATAACCTGGCCCCTTCCTACCTTCCCAGACTTTTTAAACCTTACTCCTTCATCATACTCTGTAATCCAGTGACACTGGCCTCCCAGCCGTTCCTCAAACAAGACACTCTATCTCCCGACTTCAGGCATTTTCACTGGCTGTGCCTACATGCCTGGAGTGCTCTCTCTCCTTATCTCCACTACTGGCTTCCTTCAAATCCCAGCTAAAATTATCCCTTCTCCGGGAAGCCCTTCCTGGTCATCTGTAATTCTAGTGCTTTCCCTGTGCTGATTATTTCCTATTTATCCTGCACATAGCTTCTTGGTCCATAGTTATTGCCATTCACCCCCGCATTATACAGTGAGCTCCTTGAGAGCAAGAACCACCTTTGGCTTTTCCTTGCATCCCCAGAACTTAGCAGAAGACAGAAACAATAGAAGAGAAAGAAAGAAGCAAAATGGATTCATAAACAAAAGGACCAACCAAAAGACTTTTTAGCCAAAGGAGAAGGATGTGGCAAAAGCAGCTAGAGAGCCAAGAGGTAAAAAGAAGGTGCAAGAGGAGAGAGAATGAAAAGTCAGAGACATTGAAAGTATGGGTGGGAATAAAGACAGGGCAATGAGGGACAAAGTTAACACGAACTAAAAAAGACTAAGGCAAGAATAAAATGATCCTGGATTGCTTGAACTTGTGAAGCAGCATGAAAGAGGCTGAGACAGCTGGCAGGGTGTACAGAAGAGAGGAAGAATGGAGGCAAGCTGTTTAGGGTTTACCAAATTCTAAAATGTGACCAGGGTTGTGTAGAGTATACAAAGGAGCCATGAAGAGGACATTATTCACCTGCAAGATCAGAATATCCCGCAGAGAGATAACTGATCCCTACTCTACGGGAAGACTCAGATGGTTGACTTTTCAGGGATCTAATTTAGGAAGGAACTGAATGCTCTTAGGATGAAATAGATACAAAATCAGGCTCTGGCTGTTCCACAAGGAGGCATTTGATCTCCTGCTTGCCACTCCTACCACACATATCATGTCCCTCATGTCCAGTGATGGGTGTTCAGCACTTCCCTTCCACATCCCCCAAGACTGCATGTTCAATTTAACCCAGAAGCTAGAGCCGGAATGGATAGGAGGAGACATCAGTCTGGTCAGAATGGCCCTAGATTTCCATTTAAATCAAAATAAAAAAGCTCTAACAAGAAGCTCTGGCTTCTTCAATCTTAGAATGCCCTAGCTCTGGCTGACACAAACATTAATAATACACCCAGCCTCTCTGTGGAGCAACCCAGCTAGTAACCACCTGCTACTTAGAATGGGTAGCACACAGAAAAGAAGATCTGATGATCTTACAAGATGTCACTAGAAAACCTGGTCATGGGGACTTAAGAAATGTTTACCTAGAAATTCCTTTGTCAATTATATTGAGTTGCGTTACTCAGGCTGCCTCTGATATGTCAGTTCAGCCACTGTTGCAAAGCCTAATTTCAAATGCTGGTAACGATAAAGTCAGTTTTCAGAACATCTGTATGGATGGTATCCAGAAGGCCTGCTCTACTGTGAGGAGCAACAAGATGCCCAGATGGCACCCAGCTGTTTAGGACGCATATTTAGTTTCAGAAGCCAAGGCATGAAGAGAAATGCTGACTTTTTATCATTTAATGAACTTCTCTATTATCTTCAGTGAATATATTCTTTCCAACTGACCCGATTTATTAAATTTAATGAGAATACACTGGGATTTTCCACTGAGTTACTGCTTTCCTTCAGTCTCAGGGTTAGCTTAGCAGCATTAATTTATAGTTAGAACTGAATTCTTTTCTATGGGAATGAGCTGCTTGTTGCAAGTAGCAAATTTCAGAACATAATTGAAGTGTAGGGCTCTTCTTTTACAACAACTTCTGACAAGAACTTCTATACAAGGCTGAATTTTGCTGTGGAAGCTTCAATAAAGTGGATCCTCTACTCCCACCCCCCAGTCATTAACATATAAATGTAATGGAAATAACAAAGCAGCGGTCTATGTATTTTTCTTATGTGCTCTTTTTCTGTCCCTCTCTCCCATTCTGTGTCACCACAGCAGGACATGATCAATGGAATACTGCCCAATCCAAGGCCTAATAAAACTCCCATGTTATCCTGGACCCCTAGGAGAACTGAGGTCAGATTGTGGGCCTGTTCTCCCATTCCCATGGGTGGCAGGGATTAGGAGTACAGTAGAGGATGTGTGTTTCCCTGGAGGAATGAAAGGGGCAAAGAGAGAGAGGAGGAAATGCCTTGTGCTGATATTTTCTACATAAGCAACAAGGCCCGCAGGCGAGTTCTTGCAAGGCTAGTTTTGCTTCTAACAGATGCCGACAGGCGTGGAAATGGAAGTCAGAGGAGCAAACGATAAAAATGCTGACAAAGCCTTCTAATATGCTTCATTGTTGACTTACCAAAAAAAAAATTATCTGAATGGATTTTGTTTATAAGAAAAGAGAAAAAGAAAAAATGAAAAGAAAAGCAGCATTCACTTGTCAGTAAATGTCTGTGTTCCTAAGAAGCAACATGGGTCACTAAAAGAAAGGCCTCCCCTTGCCAACCCCCAAGGTTCTGTGATACTCAATTTTAATGGTATTTTATATAATTTATAATACTGGAGATGAAGGAAGATAGAAAATGTAATATCTAGCTTTGAAGAAGGCTAGAAAGATAAACTGTCTACTAATTAACTAGGGATTATACATATGAGCTTGGCTGGGGTGGGGGGCGGGAAGAGAGGCAGGTAGGGAGATCGTAGTAACTAAGATTCCCTACCTGGAATGTTGCAAAAGCTGTAGGGGAACCACTGAACTATAGCGGATGTGCTAAATTATCTATGAGCTCACTCTCAGCAGTTAATAAATTTGGCCCAGAAAGGTAAGAGGTAACAAAGACCAATCAGATCCAGTGTTCCTGCTGCCCAATGAGCTAAGGCCATGGCAATATGAAGTCACATAACTGGGAGGAGTACAGAGAAGCCACCTTTCTGGCACAAGATAAATGCCTTCCTCCCTCACAATTCCCTCAAGCTGTGGTATGTTCTTTCAGCTTTTACCTTTGACCACATATTGCTTTTCTTGTTTTATTGAACAGATTTTCCTTTACCTTTTCTTTAAGGTACAGCTTAGATATTCCTGTTCACACTTGGAGGTTTCATATGGTAAATTTTAAAATCACTTATAAGTACTTTATAGTTTAGCCAATTTAAAACCAATGAACTAAAAAAAATGGGGGAACTGCAGTCTATTAGATGTTACATAACAAAAGGACCCTATTTAAATGTATTCTTAAGTCTAAACTTATGATGTTTTTCTCATTGTATCTTCACACCTTGTATATAAATTCTTGTTAAATTGAAATCATCACACCAAAGTGTTAGAAAGGCTGTGGTGCAGGTCTTTGTATGTCTAAAATAAAAATGTCTAAAAAAATCTCGATTTCTCCTACTTTCAAAAAGAATTATATTTAAACAAAAATGAAATACTCCCTGTCCTCAAGGAGGTTATATTCATTTTATGTGTATGAGAGGAATCATACACATGCATAAATAAATGAATGAACAAACAAATGAATAATTAAATAAATGAAATACAGGCACGGGGAATAAGAGGGGATAGTCAAGAAGATCAGAAGAGGCCTCATGTAATAGGTAGGACTTGAGTTGGTAAGATGAGGAGGCATGCCTTAATGGGGGCTAAGGATTCCAGGAGGCATAGGTAAGGAGGCAGATGACAGAAGGTCATGTAAAAGGAACAGAATGTAGGCCAGTTTGCTTGGAACACAGTATACATCAGATGTAGTAATGTACAATCAGCCTGGAAAAATATGCAGAGCCCTGGAGGGTAAAAAGATAGGCTGAAGCCAGACTGTTCATGATCAGGAGTTTTTCAGTCATATCCAACTCTTTGTGACACCACATGGGGTTTTCTTGGCAGAGATACAGGAGTGATTTGCCATTTCTTTCTCCAGCTCATTTTACAGATGAAGAAACTGAGGCAAACAGGGTTAAGTGACTTGCCCAGGGTCACACTGCTAGGAAGTGTCTGAGGCCAGATTTGAACTAAAGAAGATGAATCTGGTTCTCCAGCCACTGTGCAACCCAGCTGCCTCCAAAAAGTCAGATTGTAGAGAGCTTTAAATGCCCAACAGAGGAGTTTATATTTTATCCTAGAGGCAATAGGGAGCCAGTGACATTTTAGGAACATGGTCACACCAGTGCTTTGCAAATGTATCTGACATCTATATAGAGCATGGATTGGAAAGAGAGAATGGATGCAGGGAAGTCAATCTGCAAACTCCTGCAACGCTCAAATTGAAATGTGACGACAGCCTAAATTAGGGGGGGTGGTTGTGTGAATGGAGAGAAGATTGAGGAGTGAGACGGTGAATAGTTAGGAGCAAGGATGGGTTTAGGGAGAAACATAAATGAGTTCTATTTTTGACAGACTGAGATGAGATGCATATGGGACACACAGTTGGAGATATCTAGCAGGAATTTGGGAAATGTGGTACTAGAGCTCAAGGAGAGAGAAGGGCTAGATACATGGATTGGCTACACTGAATGATAGCTGATTTAGTCCATCTCTGAAATAGCTTTAGATGACAACTGGAAGCAGAGACATACCAGCTAATCAAGTTAGTCAACAACACTGTGACTTATCTATTGTAAAAAGAATATTATTCTTGGCATTTTACAATTTCTCTTGTTTTTCCAAGAGTTTCATAATGTTTTAGAACCCTCACTGGAGCATCACCTCCTGTTACCACTATCCTTCCTCCCTTGGTATCTCTAATTTTCCTTTTCCCAGTCTATCTTTCCTCAAAACAAAGTCTATTCCCCCTTAGCTAATGGCTGCTCCACTGGGCTCCCATCTTCTTCCACTGCTGCCAGAAGCATGTTCAGCACTTTCTTCTGAGAGAGTGAAAACCTTATATGAGTATGAATAGAGTCCATAGACCATAGTCCAATAAACCTTACACTGACAGCAGGCTCAAGCAACTGTTATGACTCAGAGATAGCTAGTGAGATATTTGGGAGCTGCCTAGCTTTTTATATATTTTCAAGCTCTAACCTAAAAGAGTTTTCCTGCCTTCAATTATTCTGGAAGTGAATGAGGCATACCACAAACACAAAGAAATTCAAAGTGCTCCAGAAACCAAATTTTAGTAGAAGCTGGGCCCTCCTAAAGATGATGTACAGCAGAGAAAGAGAGAAGGAGAAAAAGAGCTTTTGCTCTTGGGTTTTATGCAAGACCTTTCTATGTGCACCCCTAGGCCTGGAACTCTTAAGGGAGATGCCAAAGTTGAGACATAAGGGTAGACAAGAATAGGGTTTTAGTTTCAGAGTGGATTCTTCTGATACTGCCAAGAACCCTAGAAAAATAACTTCCTAAAAGTTTATTCCTAATGCTAGGAAGAAAGATCTATGTAGCTCTTTGTAGTCACCGTTTAATTATATGGCATTGTGATCTCTGCTTTACTTTGGCCTAGTCTTTAAGTTGTAGTCCAGGATTCACATACTATTTCTTTGTGATAATAAAGGGCTAGACCAATACAGTGAAGGGCAAGATGAACACTTTGTGACTAAATGTCCTCTTAGAAGCCCTCTTTCTTCAAGAAAGCTACTTGGACAGCATAGTGTTCTTCAGTTTGGTGCCATTCTTGACAGGCAATGGACTGTGGCCCTTCTGTTTGGTGTCTGGGGTCCTTTCCAACTCTAAATCCATGGAGCTGTTCCCTGGATTGGCAACCAAGAACTAGAAGGCAAAAACAAAACAAAAAAAAAAGATAGATACTTACAATGAATTCTTGGGCAATCTTATGTCCTTCAGGAGACAAGAGCAGGAAATTTAGAAGGAGGTGCCTGGTTAATCGTTGAATATAAGGATGTCTTGTATCTGCCTCACTGCTCTCACCAGCCACAGCCTGCAGATCTTTCACTGAGAGGGGAGTTCTACTGAAAAGTTTCATGATGGACCCATGCGCTTCTCTTGCGTCTACCTGATGAGAGCAATTACAAAGACTAACAGGTTAGAGAATGCAGAGACAAGCAAGCCTGAACCCTGTTTCTAGGATTTGTTCAGTACTAGGCAACCAAAGTTGTTTGAGGAACCCCTCATTATAAAATCAAAAGAACTAAAATATGAGGACGACAGGAAGAAGCAATGCGTGTCTGAGTTTACACACTGCTTCCCCCTCATGAGCCTAAATTGGCAGAATGGAAATTTCTTGACTTCTTTGCTTTTGCACGCTAAGCAGTCAGGGCATCATGCCAAGATTTAACCTTTTTTTTTTTTTTTTGTAATGAAAGGAAACGAAGAAAGTCTTAGCAGAATGCAGTGAGATTTTTTACATTGTGGGAAAAAGAACAGAGGACTCACTTGAGGATCACAGCTACAAATCAATTAAAGCCCCATGCAATCTGACCTCCTTCTCTGATCAAACACTCTGATAATAGTGCAGGTTATTCTTTTTTTGTGTTTTGCCAGCTTGTTGTGCCAGCACAAGTTTTAGTTTGTGCTTCGGAATGGTTAATACATGTGTTTTGAAAGTTAAATACATACACATTTTACAGGACAAAAAGGGCTTCAAGAGTCAGCACAATAATGGGAAACTTGCAAGATTGTAAGCAGTGATTGCAAGAGAGAAAGAAATACAAATTTCATGCTGGGATTTATGCTTGCAACAAAAAAAGCAGATCAAGTTGTGAATGGAAAACAAGACACAAATTTAGAGACATGATTCTGAAATGCCAAAGGGATCCTGGGAGAACTATCTTCAACCAGTGCTCTAAAGAATACTTCATCCTGGGCTGAGAATTCCCATGACTAATTTTATGTAGTTCGAAAGAGTCAATTTTTGTTGTTGTTGTTGTTGTTGTTGTTGGAAAGACAGACCTCCCTTGATGAGGACTGTCACAAACGAGGGGTGTTGTCTGAAGCCATTCTGACACCATACAAGACCGTGGGAAACTATGAAATGCTCTTTTGTTGGCCCAGGACTGACCCCAAGAGAAGCAGAGTATGTACTTTGATTATTACCTCTTCTCACTTGCCATGCTCTCATTATCTTCTCTCTGTCATAATCTCCCTACTGTAAATCTTCTCAGTTTTGCATTCAGAGGCTTCTGGGCTATCTATGTGTCTGCAACAATTTTAGATTTTAAAACATTTCTTTGTTTTCTTATCCCACTTTGTTCCTAACTCCTGTTGCAATTTCATTTTTTCCCCAGGATGGATGTCCCTTTCTTCTTCCTCACTACCAGGCCTGACAAGTTACCAAGATACTGTTCCCCACAACCCCGTGCCCGACAATGTACTGCACTGCTAGAAATTGCTACCATAGACTTTCAAACAAATTTTTCTAGAGAAGGAAATGAATCACTTAAAGGTGAAAATACATGGAGGGTCTTGATTCTTTTTAGATTCAGAATTACCAATGGGGACTACTGTTTTAATGAAATGAGATCAGCGGAGGGAGAAAGGGGGAACCTTTCCACTAGGAAAGCTGGTGCAGAAGGGTAAAAATGACTTGGCAAGAAGGGATGGTGGTGGGAGTAAGGGGAGAGCATGTCACAAAACGTGCTCAGAGTGCCAAATTCCTCTAATTCTCTAGCTCTCTGAAGCACACTTTGACAAAGACACAACAGCTAAGGCTTTAGGATTTACAACAATACAGAAGTACGTATAAAATCCTTACTGTTAAGCACTCAGATAAAAAGAGACATGTTTCAAATATGTAAACTGCTAAGTAAACTTACCTGTTGCTGTCATATCTCCCATTTTTTCCCCATGGTATATACCCACTTTAAGCAGACCGTCAAAAGAGAATTGGATATGGAATCAGAGAACCTGAGTTCTTAGCTCATCTTTGCCACTTGCTACCAATTTGATCTTGGGTATCACTTAACCTCCCTTAGCCTTAGTTTCATCCTCTGGAAAAAGATGGGATTGGCAGAGATTTCCCATCAGCTGAAGAATGACTGAAGAAAGAATAGTTTTGAATGCAACAGAATATTTTTCTACAATAAGAAATCATGAAAGGGATGGATTTAGAGAAACCTGGCAGGATTTATATGAATTGATACAGAGTGAAGGGAGCAGAATGAGCACAATTTCTATACAATCTACAACACTGCAAGGGAAAACTTAACTCTGATCAATGCAATGACCAAGCATGACTTCAAAAGAATGGTGATGAATGAATGAAGCAGGCTTTCAACTTTTTGAAAGAGAAGTGATAGACTAGAAGTGCAGAATGATGCATACATTATCAGACATAGCCTATTTGTAGAGTTTTATTTGCTAGATTATACTTATTTGTTACAAAGGACAGCGTTTCTGAGAGAGAAGGGGTTACAGGAGTGAAGGGGGTTGGTTATATAGTGAAGAGGAAAAAAGAACAGAAAAAGAAAAGGATGAAATAAACATCAATGAAACATTAAAAAATATACACATAAGAGAGCAGAAGGAAGTTAAGAGCAAGGCACTGCCGGAACTAGTAAGTTAAATTGAATGTTTCCTTTAAAAAATCCAAACTGTTTGTAAAAGAGATTCACAGTGTCACATGCAATCTTTTATTTTTTTTTTCTGTTCTTGTTTATATAAGGAAATATTCATGTTTGTTGATGTTTGTCAAGTTGATAACTTTTTAAAATAAAAAGATGAGGTTGGATTAGATGACCTCTAAGGACCTTCCCAGCTCTAAATGTGTGTTCCTGTGAGTCCAGTCAGGCCCAGTGTTATTGTAAAAGGGCACCCTACTTGGATCTCATTCATCTGCCTTTTCTCTCTGACAAGCAGCCTGTGTCTGTTTGAGGCCAGGACTGGCTTTTTCAATCAGTAAACAGATCCTCAGGTTACAACCCTTTCTTAGAACTAGAAACTAAAGCAATCACATGATAGTTAACACTCTGTTTCTGAAAATGAGCTCTGTGGTTTCCTGAGTATGGTATCAGTAAGCTCTATATTGATTACTTGTGTCAAAGACGATAGTTACTTTGTATCATATTGGATAATTAAAGGCAGTAATGCCTTCATTAAAGGTACTGATCCCTCTCTTGCTGACACTCATTCACAGGCTTATATGACTTTAATTGAAACTATCAGAATTTTCTTCTGCTGATGTTTTTATGCAAATTTTAGTAAAGGAGGTTTCCTTGAGTGTTGAGCAAAGTACTTGCTTGCTTTGTCTTTTCTGTTGCTTACAAAAAGCAAACACTAATACAGATAATGGTATGTTAGTCTTGTTTGTTTCTCTGCCCTGCTGTATGGAGAGAGAGAATTTTGACTAAGAAGAAGTCAAAATTGGCACCAGTTTCTTTTTTAAAAATATTGAACATTGTTTTAAGAATCATGATTGCCATGGGAAGAAATGATCGCAACTGAAACACATATTTGGGTATTGCTTTCTATCTAAAGACCCTTCTATCTCTGCAGATTACCCTTTAATTATCAAATTTAGCATTGATATCATCTGGGAAGAATAGTGATTTCAAAGTGCTCCAAAACCAAAGCTTTGGGACTAGAATACTTTATTATAAGTGATAACAAGTGAGAAAGACCACCACTGGATAAATGGAAATTATTGCCATAATGTGACCAATGTTCTACCCTGAGAATTTGGGTTTCAGACCTTGTCCTACCACTAACTCAATCTATGACCTTCAGAAAGTCAGTTTCCCTTTTATGAGTCAATGTTTTGAGTCAATAAAATTAGGGGGTTGGCATGGTTGAATCAATAACTGTAATCTTGGACTCTGGGTCTCAGGCTTTAACAGTGAGCTTTCATAGTATCTTGCTGGGAACCTGGCCTCCTTGTCACTCTCTGGCCATCTCCACTATGCTGTTGTAGTCCCCCATTCCACTTTTCCTTTATGAGCTGTCTTTCCCCATCAGAATGTAGGCTCCTTCAAGGCTGGAGCTGGCTATCTATGTACCCCAAGAATTTAGCACAAATAAGTTCTCTAAAAAATTTCTGTCTCACAATTCTGATATTCTGTGACTTAAATATCAAAAAAAGGAAAAACAAGATAAGCACAAATATGAGATGACCAAGATAAGTTTTTAAAAAGGCATATGAGGACACAAAGACTTCATTATGTCCCTGAGGAATTTCTAGTGTCTTTTAAGAAAATCTTGCTCCTTGGGCCAGTTTTAGGGACAAGAAAAAAAAGAACTGACAGGCAGGAATAGCTTACACATGGGGGGGTGGGCGAGAGGGAAGACAGCAACACTTAAATATCACCAAAGTGGCCACAGAAAGAACCTAGAAAATTTGGCCGCAAACACTTGACACTTCCTAGCTGTGTGATCCTGGGTAAGCCACTTAAACCTGATTGCCTTGAGCCCTTCCCCCCCCCAAAAAGTGGAGGGGTGGCAGCTAGGTGGTGCAGTGGATAGAACACCGGTCCTGGAGTCAGAAGGACCTGAGTTAAAATCTGGCCTCAGACTCTTGACATTTTCTAGCTGTGTGACCCTGGGCAACCCCGAATGCCTCGCCAAAAAGAAAAAAAACAAACCAAAAAAAACCAAACAAAACAACCCAACAACAATAACAACAAAAGAATCTAGGCAGACCTTGGATAAAACCATGACATTTCAGTGAATGTCACATTCATTTTTTGGCTCCTTCCTACAGAAACACTTTTCCCCTCAAGCCCTAATTGATTCTGAATACTAAGGCAATTATGCCACCCACCATTGTCTGAGTCCTCTCTTGATTTCGATCACATGAGTTATAGTAGAAAGCCAAGAGCCACAGCAAGGCTGCAGGGGATTCGGCTCTCAACATCAGTAATTCCTCAGCAGCAATATCGGCCCATTCTCCAAAATGAATAAATAAAAACCAGTGCTCAAAGAGATTTCCACAGGATCTGGAAAAAAATCAAGATACATGGCAGCTGTGCAAGTTCACCTTTTCCCCCCTCCTTAGTTCTTAAAGTTAACTTAATGTGTGTAGAAGCGCCTTATGTTCTACTCACTCACTGAAGTACTTAGGACCATCACTCAAGGGGCATACCTGTTTAGTCTTGAGTCAACAACTAACAGTGCCAGCTTGTTCCCAATCTGAGGCCTTCAAAGGGATAGTTCTCAAAAATACCTCTTCTTGGGAACTCCACACACAATTTCCATTAAGTACTTACTAATTTTTAACCTTCAGAGACTTCATGATTGTGCATAAACTTTGAAAAAGGATTTTCTTTTCATGATGAACAGAAATGTTGTGAAATTAAACTCTGTGGATAGCTCCTCTGAGCTATGTAACTGCTCTGAGACACGGATGGGAACAAGGCCTCCCCAGTTGTACGTGTCTGCCTTCCAGCTGGCTAAGCACTATACAATGAGAAAGAAGATGCATGCAATTCAGATGGAGTCCAGAAAACAGCTACCCTAGTTGTTCAGTGACAATGGCAGATGTTCTGGAGGCACTGTTGCCATGTTAGGGCAGCAGTGATTTTGCGGCCAGAGTAGAGAGAAAAGTCTGTTTCTCTGAAATCCTTTTATTTATCTTTAGTAGAAAGAGTCTTTATAACTTCACAAAGCCCGTTTCAAACCTTTTCTAATCTGTTCAATCCCACCATGTCCTTCTTCCTCTTAGCACATCACCTTAACTCCTACTTTACTAAGACTGAGACTGTCCGATTTGAGCTTCCTCATCTTCTCCCCTTTTTGCCTCAAAATCTTTCTTATCCTTTCCTCCAGTCTTAGAGGAAGAAGGAGCCCTCCTCCTTTTCAATTATAATCCATTGATGTCCATAATCCCTTCCCTATGGTCTTCTCCACAATCTTGCTGCATCAATTATCTCCTCTCTCCTTAATCTTTCTCTCTTCATTCATTCCTTTTCTTTGGTTTACAAAGAGGCTCATCTCCTCTACCCAGGGGTCCTTTCCTCTTCATTGCCTGAGTTCTCATAAGAATAGCTGGTGCTCATTTCTGTACTTTCTCAGCATGCTTTCATTCATCGACTCTTTGTAATCTGGTGTCTACCCCTACCACTACCCTGAAACTGTTCTCTCAAAGGTGACACATGAATACCTGACTAACCAAGAAATCCAACATCATGTTCTGATCCTTGATCTTTATGATGCATTTGACATTGTTGATTGCCAACCCCTTACTTAATCCTCTTTCCTTGGCTTTTGTGACATAGACTCTCCTAAGTCTTTTTTTTTTTTTTTTTTTTCTGGTTATTTGCCTCCTTTGCTGGTTCTTCTAGCTCCTCCTACTCACTAAATGCATTATCCTCTAAGGTACAAATCTCTTCCTGCTTCTCTTCTCTATTTAAATCTCTTGCTGATCTCATCCATGCCTACAGGTTCCACCATCACCACAAAGGGTATGACTGAACTGAACTCTCTACCTCTCACCTTGATCTTGTCCTCTGCTCCAAATCTGCATTGCAACTTTGTCTCGTTGCTATTTTCCTCCACCTGGGTATTCCCAAAGTCACCATTTCCAAAACCTAACTCATCATCTTTTCCCTAAAATCCAATTCCCCCTACTGATTTTCAAACTTCTAATAATACTATTCTCTTCTCCCCTTCTTGCATTGCATGATTATCATCCCAGTTCAGCCTCTCATTACTTCTTACTTGGATTTTACTGTAACTTTCTTACTGCTCTCTCTGCTTTTGGTGTCTCCTTACTCCAATCCATCTTACTCAATCTTGCTCGATTAAACTTCCTAAAGTATAGCTCCTATCATATCTCTCCCTGCTGGAAAACAAAAACAGAAACATCACCTTCAGTGGCTCCCTATTGCCTAAAGAATACTTCCCCTCCCCCCAAATCCTTCATGGTGGTCAAAGATTAAATGCTTAACTCCTATAGCCCCTCCTCCCACCCCAGCTTCCAGTAAGATGGGGAAAATATAAAAAAACAAGAGAAGCAAAACACAAAAGCAATTAAAAGGTATTGCTCACTGAATACTCTGGTCTTCAACTATTTTTTGGAGTATTTCCGAAATGTAATTCAAGTGCTGACACCAAAGTCCAGGAGGCAAATCTAGGGCGAAAATCAAAAGAGAACTAAAATATATTAGCGATAAAACTCTTAGTTAAAATTTAGAGATCTTGTGTATGGCAAGCTTTGTACCATTTTTCAATTGTGGAACCCACATCTAATACTCCACACTCATTTTTTCCCCAGTCATATCTATTATGTATCCTTGTTGGCCCATGGAACAAAGTTTCATCTGTATTACATAGGGCTAGAGTTCAAAGGATTCTTCAAATCAGGCACAGTGTGGGCAGAGATCGTATAAGCTTCCTGGAATTTGGAGTTACTATGTCCCTGTTTTCCCAGTTCTGTGCCTCCTCTGATCATAAAAGACCAATTATATCAAAATATGTGGTGACTTTCTAAAACATTCAATTGGGAATTAGGAACAAACCACCCAACTAACTCTTTTACAGTTGTAACCTAACTCAGTCTATGGGTAGGCTAATATAAAAACAGCCTTCTTTTTTGTTTAACATATATTATTTCATGACTATGCTATGATTTTGAACATGTCCAAACACCTCAATACCTGCAATTTAAAACTATATACAAAAAAGTACTGCATTTTCATATAGTCAAAACCAATATCCCCCAAATTTATATAAAGTATGTAGAATGGAATATTATCATTATTTCTTAGTTATTAACATTTATCACAAAATTACAGGCACAATATAGACAAAAACCCAAATCTGAAATCAGTAACATTACATTCTATTACAGCTTAGGAAATTAAGGGTGCTGGACTTTCATTTAAGTTTTTTTTTTTAGATAGTCACTAGACAGCTCTTCTCACTGAATCCCTTTTCTGCTGTGACTACCAAATTACTACTAGTATCTGACATCAGTCCCTCTAGGGAATCTATTCCTCTATGAAGGCACATGAGATTCTGTGACTAAGAGAACCTGAGTTGGCTCAACAGGCTTTAAAATCCCTATAAGCTAATGATTTGAAGAGAATGACAGATAATTTTGACGCCCTTCAGCTTCCCATCTTATTATTTATTTCATGATCCCAGGAAACTGATGCGTCTTTTAAGACTAAGTGCTAATAAATACTAACACATCCATGTTGCCTTATTTGCAGCCAGCTATCAGAATTTAGAAGAACACTTTCTTCAGAGATTATTTTGTTTCCAATACATAATCATTCTGACTGAGCTGGCATGAGAGGAACCAATAAATATCTATCCCAGGTCATCCAGTCACACTCAAAGAAAGCAAACCTTTCCTTTATTCATTGTGTTAATAACATGGTATAATGGGAACATCAAAGGGATTCAGAGGGGACTCCCAAACCAATCAAACAAATCCTAGAGAATTTCAAAAGGTTATCTACTACATTCTTCCTACTACTCCTGGCCACATCCTCTGGAAAGAGAATTAAATAAATGTTGCAATACTTAGAATTATCTCTTTTCTACAACTGCACCCAGTAATTAAATTTGTTAAAGAAAAAACAAAGCACTAAAAGGAAAACATTTTCTGTTAATTTATTTTTCAACTTCCCCTTTCTTCTGAGTTCAGATAAAACCCATGTCCTTTCTTGTCTGTGTCAATGCTGCCTTTCCTTTTGATTTCAAGTTTCTAGTGATCAAGAACCATGCCTCTTCCCCCCTTCCCCCATTTTTAAAAGCTGTGCCTCCCAATTCTATGGTCAGGCACATATCAAATATGTACTGTCCAAAACAGGGCAAAAATGAAATTGGGAAAACCTGTGTTCAAATTTAAAAACAATGTGAGGCTGCACAACAGTAGGAGGGATTACAGGGAGAAGACTTCAGGGATCTAGCACCACTTCTGTCCCTTAAATAGCTGTTGTTGTCATCATCAAAACATCCCACATTCAGGTGGTAAATTTTATAAAATATTATAGCAGGGCTCTGTGGGACTATTTTAAATACTAGGCAGCTTTTTTTCCCTATTTTTATAAGCAAATCTGCCTGAGAAAACATGTATCTTAACATCAATGTTGTCAGAAATTATTTCATCACTCCTGAAATCTAGCTCAACTTACCTTTTGGGTTTTGAAGTAATACCATAATAAGAGATGAAGAGGCATAAGGAAAGTAGGATTTAAGTGGAAATTTCAGCTGCAACAGAAAAAAAAATTATTTAAAAACTAGATATCAAAATCAGCTAGATTAGAGAGGTAGGGAATTCTGGCAGGATGAAAACAACTGGAAAACAGAAAATGAATGTTTGTCTCTATTTTAACTTAAGGGATATGGGCCAAGAACTGGTTAAATGGACAAACCAAAAGAAGAGTCACTATGTGATATTGACTTATAATGAGATCTGTAATGGAGAAGTTCAGGAGCTGTGCTTTTCACCATATTTACTAATAACCTGGGAAAGGGCATGGATGGTATGCTTATAAGTTCTGCAAAAGACACTAAACAGGGAGGGATAGCTAACATATTGGGTAGAAGAGTCAGGGTCCAAAAAGAGCTTTATAGTTCAGAATGTTAGGCCAAATCTAATAAAATGAAATTTAATAGGAAACAACGTAAAGTCTTACATGGGTTCAGAAGTCAACTTTGTAGATGGGGAGGTTATGGCTAGGTAAGACTTTGTCTGAAAAAGATCTGAAGGTCATAGTGTATTTCAAGCTCGACGTAAGTCAATACGTAGGATATGGCACCCCAAAAGTTAACTCAATCTTAGACTGGGGTCCTACTCTGATGTATCACTGTGGCATGTGGATGACCCTGGGTTTTCAAAGGCTATGCCTTAGTGCAAGTTCTGATAGGTTCCTTGACAACAGATTGTGTCCATTTGCTTTTTTTCTTTTAAGCTGTACTTACACGTTTTGTTTTTACATCACAAACATTTAGAGATTCTTCATAACGGGCCACTTGTAATCCAGTATAACAATTAAGTAAAACTAATATAATGACCTAATCTGAGAGTACATGCAACATTTAACATTTGTAGCAGCCTCCCACCTCTCTATTTAAAAAAAAAAAAATTGCAGTTTTTCTCCCTCTTACCCTCTATCCTTCGCCATGGGGGAAAAAAACAAAAACAAATTTCTTGTAACAAATATGCATAGTCAAGCAAAGCGAATTCTCTCAATGGCTGCATACAAAAATATGCCGCATTCTTCACTTTAAATCCATCACCTCTCTAACAGATAGCATATTTAAACCTCAATCCTCTGGGACTATGAATGCTCTTTGCATTGATCAGAGTTCTTTCAGCTTTTAAAGGTGTTTTTAAAATGTTGTTATTGTATAAATTTTTCTCCTGATTCTGATCATTTTATTAATTTATTATTTATTAAGTCCCCAAAATCATGTATTTTAAAAAATAGGTGTTAGTAAAAATTGTTCTTCTAATTTTGATTACTTCACTCTGTATCAGTTCACATAAGCCTTTCCATGTCTTTGTGAAATCATTTATCCTCTAATTTCTTAAGGCACAATGGTAGTCCATTACATTCATTTACTTATTTAGCCATTCCTTGAGTGATCAACATCCTGTTAGGTTTCAGGTTTTTGCCACCACAAAAAGAGCCGCTTTAAATATTTTTGTGCCCAAAGGGCCTTTTCCTTTGTTTTATAGTTGGGTCAAAGCATACACACTGTTGAACTTTTTATACGTAATTTCAAAACACTTCCTAAAATGGTTGTACCTATTCACAGGTTCACCAATCATGCCTGTTTTCCTACAACCTCTCTAACATTTATCATTTTCTCTTTTCTGCTACCTTTGTAAATTGGATGGGTGTGACGCAGAATCTCAGAACTGCTTTACTTTGGAATGCAACTATTTTCCAAGGACAAGGTTAGTGAAGTACATAGAGTTTATCACTTCTAGGCTGGCCACCTGATGATACATTCTTCAGCCACCGCAAACACTGAAACAAAGAATGACACAAAATAACCTCAGTCATGTGTGGCCCTTTTCCAATCTGTAGTGGCAGAGTTACTAGGATGCACATTTTTAGACTGTTTATAAATATTAACTTAGCTGTGAGAGTGTCCAGTGACTGCACATACTACTGCAAATACTAAACTGAATCACTCAACATTGTTGCTAAAAACAAAACCAGAATAGGGAGGTTCCCCTAAATAGAAGGCTGGCACTAGGTTCTTTTTAGAGGCAATAAAGCAATCAATCAACGAGCATTAATTAAACATCTACTACAATATGCCAGAGGTGCAATGAATAGAGCCCTAGGCTTGGAGTCAGGAAGACCTGAGTTAAAATCCAGCCTCAGACACTTATTAGCTACATGACTCCAGGCAAGTCACTTAACCCTGTTTGCCTCAGTTTCCTCATCTGTAAAATGAGCTGGAGAAGGTAATGGCAAACTACTCCAGTATCTTTGCCAAGAAAATCCCCAAATGGGGTCACAGAGAATTGGACACAACTGAAATGACTGAACAGCGATGATAATATGCCAGGCACTGGGGACACAAAAACAAAATCAAAGTACACGGCCTCAAGGAACTTACCTTCTATAAGAAAAGTTAACATCTACACTTATGAGTACACAAAATAAGCGCGCGCGTGCACACACACACACACATACAGATATACATGTACGTATATATATATACACATATGTGTACATATGTAAATAAAGACAACAGCAGAGTTAACTTTTTATCTACATTCAAAGGCAGTAAGAAACATCATTTCATGGGGCATTTAGTATTCTAGGATTGCTATGTTCATGACAAGTGTTTGTCAAAAGATAACTATTAAAAGAATTGCAGCATATATGTCAAGGATTAGATTCTCCATATTACATCAACATGTACTTTGATATTCTGGGACTTCAATTCAACAACAGGCATAGGTGGAGTGATGAAAAATATAGTGGAAAATAGAGTCCCAAATTGGGAAATGAGAGTGGTCAAAAGCATCAAATGCAGCAGATAGTCTGAGAAGGACTAGGGCTGAGAAAACCATCTAATTTAGCAATTAAAAGATCATTAGTAATTTTGAAGAAAGTTTCAGTTGAATGATAAGGTCAATAGTGGGACCTACATTGATATAAAGAGGACCCAAGAAAGTGATATCATGTATCTGTCAAAATAACAGAATATTATTATTAACAATAATAATGGTAAAACTTCATATGTTATGTAAATGTTCATTATTATGACCAATTGTGATAATATAAACTTTAGAAATTTGGCAAGTCACTCTCCTTTTGGCATCTGGAGGATGTCAATAAAAACGCAGGGAAGTGGATAGAGCTGAAAATCTGATCTAAGAATAATATGATGGATTTGAGGTGTGTCCATCATCTTTAGCTCAAATAATGAGCTAAGAGCTAGACAGAGAACAGAAGAAAATTAATGGGAGGGGGTGAACAAGGACCTTGAACTTTAAGCCATGATGGGGACTGTCAGTAGGAGGTGTGGTCTGAGACAGACCCAGACCCTTAAGACTGGCAAATACTCAGGGCAGGGTGGGCTGAGGAACAGTCAAGACTAACAGCCCCTTTCTGCTCCAGGCTTTCCCACACTTCTAATTCAAGAATAACACCAACTACTACAGATCTCTGGCTTCTTTAACTTAGGTGGACATACATACTGTTTTTGGATAAGGATTTTAGTTTTATGAAATCATAAATATTTTGAATATTGAGGGTGTGTGGGGAAGATAGGAAGAGTCTCCAAACTGAGGATCCCAGGCAAATGAAGCAGGGTAGAGGAGACAGCAGAGGGGCAGCCTGGCTATTATGGGGTTGTGAGTACTGGTTCAGGCATTACTGTAACTCTGTTCCTAGTAGGTCTTTTTACCCCATGCTGGTATCAGCATAAGAACAGGTTAAGGTAGCTGAGGTCTGGGCTGCTGCTGATTAAAGAGCTTGATGGTTTCTTTGAAAAAAGAACTGGAAGGTTCTGGACATAGCAAACATCAAACAACATTACAAAACTGATTATATTTTGATAGACAGGAAACAATTCAATGCTGATACTAGTGTCATCCTGAATAGCTGTGTATGTATAGTCTGATCACTAACAAATTAATGACCAGAATTATTATGAAACTAAATGAAAATAAAAAAAGCTACTGTGCCCAACTAAAACAACTCTAATTTGGTCCATTTCAAAATTACTGATGCCAAAAAATGGGAAATTAATGGAAGAATTGACATAGACTTAGAATAATTTCATATAGAAATTTAACTGATATAAACTAAGGGTTTAATGAGGAGAATAAAAAGAGCCTACAAACCAGCAAAACCTGGATCTACTTGCAAAGAAGAGAAATGTGGTAGCTAAAGGAAAGTTAGCTTAAACTCATGTGTAAAACCTCATGGAGAAGAATGGTAGCAGATGAGAAGCATTACTGCCTAGGCAAAGGTGTGAGAAACAGAAAAAGTTTAAAGAAAGTTTGTTGAGATCCAAATGAGCAAAGTCATCTACAGGACATTTAGGTATAAACCAAAGAACAGAACAAACAGATGAGAGGTACAAAGTGTTTGAGAAAGTTTTTGGATCAACTCTTTTCCCCTTGAAGGGCAGTGGTGCCATCACATTTTGACTCTAACATCACAATCCTGGAAATAACAATGAAGAACAAAAGACAGGAAAAATTCTCAGAAGATGGTGGAGTAGGTCAGAAAACTTTCAGCTCTCCAAATTTCTTCCACATAAAAAGCCAGAGCATCACCTCAAAGTGAACATAGAGCCACAGAAATAAATAGGAGTCTGGATAAAGCAGTTGTCTTTCTAAGACAACATGAGAAAATTCCAGGAAAGACTGGATCTCCAGGGGTGGAGGTCAGGCCTGAGTGAAGTGCAACCACTTCCAGGCAGACTCTGCTGCATTCAACAAACACCAAACTCTGGGAGCGGCGGGGTTGGAAGGCAGCCTCAGAAACTTTCGCCTCAAGGACAACGTAGGGGTTGGATGGCTGAGTAGGTGAATATTGAAGGACCTTCCACTGTCAAGGGCCACCAAGCACAGCTGTGCTGACCTGCCGATCCCCAGCTGCAGCTGCAGGGGAGATGAAGCTAAAATATGCCTAGTGAGTGCAGTAGCAGAGGGATGGGGACCCTGCTGGTTGACCCTGGCATTTGCAGGAGAGTGGAGTCCCTGCTTTCAGTTCCAGGGCAGAGAGGAC